TCGTTGATAATTAAAAAAGTATTGATACTTCGACATTTTCGCTGAGGAAAAATCGTCTGAAAATGATCTGAGGTATCTGCTATTAACAGGTTTACTGCTAGTTTTGGGACCCCTTGTATATATTTATATAATATTTATTATTAAGTTTATAATTGATTTAATTTAATATTGATTTTATTTTAATTTTATTCTCAGTGATTGTCCGTTTAGAGTTTATAATACACAATTTAAGAAGAGATAACACAGACCTATAAAGAAAAATAATAATAAACATGTTTTCTCTCTTTCTGTGTGCCACCGCTGCTCAGTCCTTTATTGTAATTGTACTGTTTTGTTCTTATTCTGAATAAACACACAGGCTTATATTTATATAAAAGTAACGGCTCTTGTGTTTATAAAAGTAATTTGCTTCACACAACTAATTTTATGTATTTTACATTCTTATATTCTAACTTTTATATTTTATAAATATTAAATGTATATAATTTATTGATAATAAGAATAATTATTTAAAGAAAATATACAATAAATTGTGAATGTAATTTTTGTATATATCTGTCAATTACAGTTATGTGCGACACTGAAATACACACACACACACACACACAATTTTTTTATAGAAAATCATATTTATACATATATGATTTTATTTTTCAAAAATTTTGCAAATGGAAATTTGCACATTGCTTTCTCTCCATACAATATTTTACTAATTAGGATAGTTTTCCAATTAATAATTTTATATCTCTTGTGTTTATTTGTTTATATATAAGAATGATTTAAAAAGACGTTAGAGATATATTTAATTTCTCTATTATTTAGTATTTCAATTAGAAAGATTTAATAAAATATACATTGATAAGAACTATAGCTACTATACTTATACATATATAATTTTATTTTTTAAAATTGTGCATACGGAAATATGCACATTGCTTTTTTACCATATAATATTTTACTAATGAGGATGATTTTCTAATTACTAATTTTTATATTTCTTATATTTATTTTCTCGTTTGTATATAAGATTGATTTAAAAAGACATCAAAGCAATATTTAATTTCTCCATTATTTATGTTTTGTCCAAATTGTACAATATTTTACATATCTAAAATAAAAATTCTTTTGCCGTCATGATGATATTTCTAAAACTATTATTGAGTAACGGATTAATTTTTATCGCTGCGACGACTTCTTCTCGTAATGAATCTTTATGTGATCAATCATCAATATATATAAAAACAATGCATTACAATATCATATATTGAAGGAAATATTTTTTATGGAGAATACAATATCATCATAAACATTCTTAATAAAACAAAAAACATATATTTACATTCAGAACAATTATGTATTAAAAATATGGTTCTAATTAAAAATTTTAAAAAATATGAGAATTATAAAGATACAGTTTATAAACCGACATATAATACTGAAAAAGATACAATTTATATTTCAATAAAATATTAAATTTCGTTCGCCAGGAATGAAATACTAAGGTAGTAGATATTAAACTGACTACACTGGCTGTCTATTAGATTTGTTAAACTATATTTATTGACGTTTCGACCATACGGGCTGTGGTCCTTTTCAAAATTACAATAGAAGCATTCTAGAAATTAATGTACATGCAATCAGAATCAACATTTAAATTGAAAACGTGAAATGTAACAAATGAGACTTACAATGAGTTACTGCATATCGTTATTGACATTTAAAAGTACGCTCCGGTGAGACTTAACTTAAGATCGGATGGTAAATTAACTGCGTTTCACTTGTGTCATCTTGCCACGACTGAGCACACTGTACTAACGAATAAACACGCCGAAAATTATGTCAAAGTTAAAAGTTAACAATATTTACATTCTCGCTAAATTGTGATGTACCATATGGCAAATTACTAAAATAAAATATAAAAAATAAAAAATAAATATAAAAAGTATTTAATAGCTATCACCCAAGACTAACTTTTACTTATGAGATTGAAACTAATAATTCACTCAGCTTTTTGAATACAATTGTCTACAGGGATGATAATAAGCTCATAACTAACTGGTACAGAAAACCAACATTCTCAGGAAGATACTTCAATTTTTTCTCGAATCATCCGACGAAATATAAAATTAACACCATTACCAATTTAGTTGACCATGCAATAAATTTATCTAACAAACGGTTTCATGACTCTAATTTAAAAATTGTAAAGAATATTTTGAAAAATAATTGCTTCCCGGAAAATCTCATTAATAAATATGTCAATGATAGAACTCACAAGCTGTCACAACCTATAAACATTGAGGATAAAAAAATTATAAATGTAGATTCGACGGATGTTTCGAGGGAAAATTTCATCGTTATTCCATATTGTAATCGGTTCACTAATGACATATATAGATTTCTAAACAAAAAGAACCTTAACGTAATTTTTACCATCCCCAAAAAACTGAACTGTTTAATAAAATCGGGGAAAGATAATTTAGATATTAATAAGCAAACCGGCGTAGTCTATTGTATTAATTGTAACAATTGTGATTCTAATTATGTAGGGCAGACAAAAAGACATCTTAGTACTAGGATTAACGAACACCGACGTAATATTAAAAATTCAGCGAGCAATTTTTCTGTTGTTAGTGAGCACAGAATTAATCAAGGACATGAATTTGATTGGTCGAATCCTTTAATTCTGCATAAAGAAAACAATAGAAGAAAAAGAGAAATAGCCGAAATGTACTTTATCAAGAAATTGAATTCCACTATCAATTTACAGAAAGACACTGAAAGCTTTAGTACGATATATGACAGTTTGTTTAGAAATTGAAGTAAAAAATTTTTAACATACATTGTTGGGAGCTATTATTAGTAGTTTATTATTGGTATGTTAAGGCAGGATGACATAAGCGAACCGAATATATCTATTTATTTATTTATTTATCTTTTTATTTTATACTTTTTATATTTTATTTTTTATTTTTTATATTTTATTTTAGTAATTTGCCATATGGTACATCACAATTTAGCGAGAATGTAATTATTGTTAACTTTTAACTTTGACATAATTTTCGGCGTGTTTATTCGTTAGTACAGTGTGCTCAGTCGTGGCAAGATGACACAAGTGAAACGCAGTTAATTTACCATCCGATCTTAAGTTAAGTCTCACCGGAGCGTACTTTTAAATGTCAATAACGATATGCAGTAACTCATTGTAAGTCTCATTTGTTACATTTCACGTTTTCAATTTAAATGTTGATTCTGATTGCATGTACATTAATTTCTAGAATGCTTCTATTGTAATTTGAAAAGGACCACAGCCCGTATGGTCGAAACGTCAATAAATATAGTTTAACAAATCTAATAGACAGCCAGTGTAGTCAGTTTAATATCTACTACCTTAGTAATTTATATTTCCTTTACGGATGAGTTATCACCAAGAAATTACATCTTAAATATAAAATATTATGGTACCGTTGATAAAGTCTTTAGAATTTACGACATGATAGAACCAACTACGTGAGTAAATAATAAATGTTTATTAAAAAAATATAATATGTAATTACATAGGATATTGTAATTAATATACTATTTATATATTCAATGTCTTAAAAATTATTATATATTGCGAATTTTAAATATGTACAAGGAGAAGAAGAGTCGCGAATATTAATTTTCATAAAAATATTTAATATGAATAAGATGCATAGAATAATTGAGATAATTATTAAAATTATAAAATTAAGAAAATAATTAGGGTAAAATTATCGAAAGCGATGAGTATATTACAAGATATTACACCATATTATTTGTAAAAATGCTTTTCAAAATAAGTAATATAAATTAGTAAATAATGCATATTAATTTGATTACTATTAGAAATAGAGAACTAGAAAGACTGCTTACATTTTTTTTCAAATAAGCGGGATATAAATTTGTTAATAATGCATAATTTATTTGATTAATTGAACGAAATTTGAAGATGTTTAATTAAGACAACTATTACACACAAATGCTGCCACACACACACGCACACGCAAACGTGCATATTAACGACCTCAGAATTTTGTTGACCTACACAATATATTTATCACGATAAAACGTACAGAGAATCAGTCAGTCTTTCGTGATCTTCCAAACCATACCGTGATAGATATAAAGATTGTAACAAAGTATGTGTGAAATTTTGTGTTCTGCCAACATTGCATACTGCTAAAACATTAATTTGTTGCAATTAATTTAAAAAAATATATCATTTATATTAATATACTTCTGCAATTAACATACTGTACCAAAATATTGGGTAAGTCAAAATAAGTTAAAAATATAAAAACATATATTTGTCTACAAATAAAAAAAATGTGCGACACTAAAATACATACATACTTGTATATATATATATATATATACAAGTATGTATGTATTTTAGTGTCGCACATTTTTTTTATTTGTAGACAAATATATGTTTTTATATTTTTAACTTATTTTGACTTACCTAATATTTTGGTACAGTATGTTAATTGCAGAAGCATATATATATATATATATATATATATTATATTTAAACAATTGTACAAATGGAAATTTGCACATTACTTGCTCACCATATAATATTCCGCTAATTAGAATAGTTGTTCAATTAATAATTCTAATACTTTTTATATTTATTTACTTGTTTATATACAAGAATCATTTAAAAATACATCAAAGATATATTTAATTTTTTTATTTATCTTTTGTTTTCCAGCAGAGTGTTTTCTAGATCTAAAATAAATATTCCTTTTCTCCGACATGATGATATTTCTAAAACTATTACTAAGTAGCGGATTAATTTTTATCGCTGCGACGGCTTCAATTCGTAATTCTTTATGCTATCAACCATCAAACTATGTAATACCAATGCATTACAATATTATGCTTTCAACATTTATGGAAGGAAATATTTTCTATGGAGAATACAATATCAGCATAAACATTCTTAACAAAACGAAACACATATATTTACATTCAGAACAATTATGTATTAAAAATATAATTATAATTAAAAATTTTGAAAGATATCATGAGCATGATAAAGATACAGTTTATAAACCGACATATAATATTGAAAAAGACACAATTGAAATTTTATTTAAGAATGAGTTATCACCAGGAAATTACACCTTAAATATAAAATATTTTGGTATTGCTGATAAAGTCTTTAGAATTTTCGATGTGAAAGAAGAATCTACGTAAGTAAATAATAGATGTTTATTAAAAAAAGTACAATATGTAATTACATAGGACATTGTAATTAATATACTATTTATATATTACAAATATCCCAAAAGTTATTATATATCGCGGATTTTAAATCTAAGGTTGAACCCTGATATTTATTATTATAATAATACGTAATGGAGTTATGAAATATAATATGTATTGCCGCATATAACATTTATCCATTATATAATTCCCAATATTTTTATGCTTGTCAAAAAAGTTTCATTAATTGATGTTCTTTGAAATGTAGTTGGGTAGGTGGTGTGCATTTCCTGATAATAGTCGTCCTACCATTTTCTGAATATTATTCATGTTTGCATCCACATGAACTATGGTTCAAAGCAACCTTTAACATATCTGTAGGATGTAATCAATGCACGGTTATGACAAATATGCCATTGCAAAATATAGAAGTAGATGAGAACAATATGGAATGGAAGCACTACAATACCACACCTCTAATGCGGACTGATCACGCAACAATAATTGTGTCTAATTACCTAATCCCTAGTGATATAAAAACTCGCAATATTGAAAAGCGGTGCGGTCATGGATTGAACATAGAAACTGGGAAAATTACAGATCAAAATATTATGTACATATCCTGTCTTGATAGCAAAATTCAAAACATTACAATATGGTGCAGAAACGAATTGCAATTTTACATGGAATATACAGAAAATGTAATTAAAAATATCACGTTGTTTCTAAATAATAATTGGAAACATTCGAACATTATTTCGAAGGTGGATCATGTTGCAATTCCAAATTTTCATGACAAAGGCACAATAGTTTTCGGACTTGTTTTTTATAAGTGAGTACAAGTGCTTAAAATTACAATAAAAATAAAATTATATTAGCATGCAAAATTATAAAATATAAAAACGTGTATACCTTTTGTTTCTGTAAATGCGCAAAAGAATAAGGATTTGCGAAAACAATTTTTGTAGAATTATGTTTATTTATATAATTACAAAGTTAAAGTATACCGTTTTAATAAATGCATAAAAGGTAAAGTATGCTAAATCGTACTCCCTAAGTGTGTTGTTAAAACTGCAGTAAAGCTATAACAGAAATGACATTTTTATTTATTTTAATCTATTGTTTTTTGTCAACAATATACATATTAACAGTCAACAATTTACACATTAAATTTATCGTAGTTTCATATGGTAAATGAAAAAATTAGAAAATATTATTTGGTACGATTTACAATACTGATTTGCTAAATCGTATCCATGAGTTTGTAAATCGTACATCTAGCAATGGAATTAAAATATCGTAACAAAAATAAAGTTTTATTTCATATAAAAGTTCTCACTCTTAACATTTAAATATAACTTTCAGGGAAACCGATATCATCTACGATAAAAATGTATATCCTGTTGCTCACAAAATCGAAGTAGCTCAATTAGTAGGACGTAAAGTGACACAACAATGGTTTAATAACATGATGAACAATCCGTTAGTGTCGGATTTTTGGTTTAAAGACGGTCTTATTACATTGCTTGCAACGTATTCTGTCAATAAGGTTATTCTCAATATTTTCAACGCTATCTCGCTCCCAACGTACTTCTCGCAAACGATACAATACTTATGCATTCATATTGCAATATTTTCTTAAATCAAACCCTTTTTACAAAATCCATACACATTCTTTGTGAATTGTTTTAAAACATTTAGCATTATATAAAATAATCAACAGTTTTTTTAAATACCTTTTCACACATTTACATACATATAATTATTATTTTATTTATTAAAAATTTTTATTTTTTAATACCTTTCCTTGGACATTTTTAAATTTTTATAAAATTAAAAATAAAATAATAAGCTAGTACACATGATATTTATCTGAATAAATTTGATATAAATAAGTCTGCAATATAATGTCATGAGGCAATAATTATAAAATGTGTAATATTTGCTAATTATATTAATACAAAACTTTAGATTTCGACTAAACTAGCGAATAAATAATTTATTCAGCTTTACGACGTTTCGACCATGTGATTGTGGTCTTTATCAAGTAAACAATAAAATATTTTATTACAAAAATAGTTATTAACGTACATAAAAGAATTCACAAATGATCATATCAATAAAACTGAAAACCATAATTACAAATGAAATAAATTAAAGTTAACACATTATTATACAAATTTAGGCAGTAACATTTCTTGAAATTATATAAGTCAATCAATAGTACAAAGTGAAAACATTAAAAGAAAATTAATGATTAGTTCGACCATACTGGTTTTTATTTATAATTCGTCTTTATTAGATATGAAGTACATTACGTTTCAACCTTAAATTTAGATCCTTTTCAAGTACTAAAATTATAAAAAATCAATAGTTGGCGACGCAAAACTAAAACTAAATACAAGTCAATTCGTGCAAGGAAGACAACAATGTACTTACTTAAAACAATTCCAATAAGCCACATTAAGATATAGAGATATAAATTATGATATGTTAAGCGCTGTGAACTTTAACATGTCGCTAAGACATTCTGTCAACTACTGATACAAGACGCTAAATTATTCTAATGACCTTATCATAAACAGAGTTAAGATTGTCTGTGTCAGTTTGAAAATTGATTGTGTTTGTTTGCTTTTTAATATATAATATTTAGGCAATTTCTCTCTTACGTCTATGTTTTTCAGTGTGTAAAATACAAGGGTCAAGCCACCGGAAATCGTGATTGCATTCTATTCTATGTTTGCTAACAATAAACAGATTCGATTCATGCTTTTTAATGTTGTTCTGGTGTTCCTTTATGCGAGTATTTAGATGTCTTTTTGTTTGTCCTATGTAAGAAACATTGCAATCAATGCATTCCAATCTATAAACGACATTTGTTTTATTTAATTTAGGAGTGGTATTCTTACCTCTTTTGATAAAGCTACTTCGTTTTTTCTGTAAATTATATACTACTCTTAGTCCTTTTTTTCTAAGCGATTTAGAGATGTTGTTGCTGAAATTTTCCAGGTTTCCAAGGATCGTCAGATTCTAATATGTTTTTAAAAAAGAATATATATGTAATAAAATATTTTAGTGTTTTATTAAATAAAGACCACAATCACATGGTCGAAACGTCGTGAAACTGAATAAATTATTTATTCGCTAGTTTGGTAGATTAATTTCTACTAATTATATTTAAATAATAGTGACTGCTATTAATATTTTTTGGAATTTATGTTAAATTTCGTTATTATATATTTATTTTAATGTGTTTTTCAAAATGAGAAAGTATTTCGTTTTAATAAAGTAACGTTATAATAATATTGGTTTTTGTTTTTAATGCAACTATTTTCAAAAAGGTTATATCGATATACTAATTATTTTTTTCTAGATTTATTCTGATGACAGAATAATAAATTTATTTGTAGTTCAAGATCAACATTACTGTTTTAATTTGAATGGTTTTCATATGTGGCCTTCTACTTCACAAGATGACAGTTTATTGAAAATTCGCAAATCTATCACAGGTAATATGATAATAAAATAATCCGCCTAAATTTTTAATTATTAATACTTTACAATATGTGTAAAGTTAGAAGATAATTAATTATGTATCTGAATTTTAATGAAATATTATTTTTATAAATGTACATACACACACGCGCGCGCACACGCAACGTACATGCTCACGCACACGTATATACGTGTGCGCGTATTTATGCATATTCTGTCATTAATATTTAATGTATTTATGAATATAAACAATATATATATGTATAAATGTATTTTGCAACTAGCCGCTACACAGTTTTCCTTGAAAACTATGTGGTTTTCTTTGCAAAAATATTAATTTTTTTCATTATTTTATATACAAAATTATTGAAACATGATTGACGAAAAATTAATATTTCATGAGATATTTGCGTTTATGTAAAGTAATGTGTTAAAGATATAAAATATCCAATATAATATTCTTTTTACAATTATTTTATAATTAAAACAAATATTCTTTAAATAACCTTCCAAGCAACCTTTAAACAAATGTCAATAGAGATCACCTGTTTGTATTTAGAAATTATATAATTTTTTATCTAAAACGCTTTTCCCTAAAATAAATTGTTCAATAAATCTCTGTATATATATTTAAAATGAATAAATTTGTGTGTGTGTGTGTGTGTGTGCGCTCGCGAGCGCGTACGCGAGTGTGCGCTTTCGCGTGTGTGTGCGTGCGCGTGTGTGTATGTGTGTGAGCGCATGGGTGTTTTTATGTGTGTGCGCGCATATACATCACTATTCCATTTTAAAATATTCATATAAAAAATTTTTGAACAGTTTATTTTAACGAAAAACGTTTTAAATAAAAGTTGTATGATTCCTAAAGACAAAGAAGTGAACGCTACTGACTTTTTCCTAAAGGTTGATTGTCAAGGTAATTTGAAAATCATTCATGTTTTTTCAAATAGATCTAACTTAATTATTATTAATTAATTATTAATTATTATAAATAATTTAATTATTTTTAATCGATTTCTCGCAATATTCATTACCAATAAGCTATATAAATAGTGTAATACACACGCGCGCGCGCGCACACACGCACACCCACACACACACACACACACACACAAAGTGTCTGGCAATACCCACGCATATGTAGGTAGAGGGAATTAATTGAATGGTCCTTTAAAGTTTTGCTATCTTTGTAAGTATTAATGAGTTTACTTATTAAATAGAATGATAACAGTGCGGCAATAAAAAACATTTCACTCTTGCGCCATTATTACCCGGTATACAAATATATCATTTTTCTTTAAAAAATGACTATGTTTACAACTAATCATTATAGTAAATATTTATTTATATTTATAATATATCTAATTTATAATTTTGATTTAAATCATAGCACCTTTTATATTGCGCATGTTGCAACACGCCCTCACCGAAGAAACATTTTGGAAAAGCATTCGCTCATATATAAATAGCACGTGAGTAATTTAATATAAAATATAATATCAGAAAAATAAAATTGTGTAACATAAATAATGTTTAATAATAGAGGTTTTATAAAATGTCTCTTATTTTTTGTCTTAAATAATTTCTAAATTGTTTTTACTCTTTTTATTTTTTTCTTTCTTTTTTCATATGGTCTATAATTCAAATAATTTTTTTTCTTTTAATTACATTTTGTGCTACATTTATTTTTTAATCTTATTTATCAGGTTTTTAAATATCTAACACTTTACATCTTTTTTTCATTTCTTCTCTATTTTATTTTCGTCTCTCGTAAAACGATTTTCTTTATATTATTTTTCTTTTCTTTTTGTTTTGTCTTCAATTCTTATTTGTTTTATTTCTTTTTTAATCATTTTATAACTCTCTCAATAATTTACTCACATATAATCTCTATTAATGCTAATAATGCCTAAAAAATTTATAATAAAGTTATTAAAGAATGGTAGCAAAAAGAACTGTTTTTTCGCTCATTTTATATGGTCAAAGTTTGGGATCTCAAATTTCAAACTTTTTTTTATGCCAAATAGTACTATATGATGAGACATTAATTCCACAGAAATTTCAAGATGAGCATAGGCACGGTTCCTTAAATATGTAGAAATGAAGGTGACAATTTCTCATAAAACTGACTGAAAATCATCACTATCCCCCTTGTGTCTTCGGAACCGTACCTATGCTCGTCTTGAAATTTTACTGTGATTAATAGTTTATCTAATAGTATTATTTGGCAATGAAAAAAAATTTGAAATCTGAGGTCCCAAAAATGGACGAAATTTGCCATCATTCTTTTATTTAAAATTATGTTATATTCTTTATTATCATAATATAAATATATAAATAGAAGTGCAATTTTATGTTCTGATTTTTAATATTTATTAAAGTTTTTTTATAAAATTAGCATCATACAAACAATTTTAACGTACTGGTAATTTTTTTTATATATTTTACATACTGTGTGAATTTGATCAATTACATCGTCAAAGTCTTCAAATTCATGAATTTCCGGATCAAATTGTTGCTGTGGCAGAAGAACCATATATTGCTATAGAAATAATGAATATACGGTATAAAGAACCGTATTGTCCTATCATAAAAATAACACAAAATTATATTATGAGCGAAGCAAATGTATCGATTAAAGATAACGACAAATTAAAAATTAATTGCCTTCCTGTAACTTTTACTACGCAAACGTCTTTGGATTTTAACAATTTTACTCATCATATGGTATGCAAGGAAAAAGATTGGAAATTATCATTACCATTTAATGAGGATGGTTGGATAATATTTAATATACAACAAATTGGTAAATATAGACCAAGAGACTTATTATGTCTTATTCCTCGTCTTTATTTTTACACATACGTAATTGTCATTTTTTATTCTCTGCTTTCTCCTTTTTTGACCTTAACCTCCATCTCCTTTTTCCTTTTTTTTCTTTAACAAAAAACAAAACGTACTTTCTACTCTCTTCTGTCTCGCCCTTTCTAATCGTCTCGTTCCACTTTTTACTCCATTTTATCTCTCTTTTTTTCTATCTCTAACTCTCTTCATTTTCGCGATCCTTCCCTTTCTATCCACTTTTTGTACTATCTTTTTCATCCTCGTATGAACTTTTTCCCCAATCCTCTAGCCATCACCTAACCCATCTCTTTACCATCGTCAAGCCCACATTTATCCCAATCCCACATCTCTTCAGCATCCACTCTTTCTCCAAAAATTTCTTTTTGTCCACCACTTTTTACATCTCTACAATAAATACCTCTCCTCCCCGTCCTTCTCTACCTCTTCATTCTCTTCTCCTTTTTTCAACTCCGTCTTCCTCTTCTTCTACTTCTCTTTTTCCTCCGCTTCCTTTCTCCTGTTTTTTTCTCTCTCTTTTCTTCTTTGCTCTCTTCTGCACTATACGTATATTTTCTGCTGCCACTACCTCATCTTCCGTTCTTCTCCTAGCCCTCTACTCCCTCTCTTCTCCTTTCCTTCTACTCTTTTCTCCACCAACCATACCTCTCCTCTCGTCACTACATCCTCTCTCGTTCCTCTCGTAACACCTATTTTTCTTTCCGTCAAGCCTCCTTTATTCTCGTTTATCACCATCCCGACATTTTTACCATCAACTCTATAATCCTCCTTAACCATCTATTCTTTTCTCATTTCCATTCTTACATCCACACTTCTCGACCATATTCATACCTCCTCTCTTCTTTTCTTTCTTTACAACTTTATACTACTACTTCTTCCTTTATCACTTTCTGTACTACCTCGTAATATGTCCACCTTTTTTTACCATCTCGTAATACGTCCTCCTTCCTCTCTTCTCTCTTCTTCCTCTTCATTACTTCTTTTTTTCTTCTCCATCTTTCTCACCTCCTCTTCACTTCTCTTCCTTCTCTTCACTACCGTCTCTTTACCGTCTTTGCCTTCTCCGCAGCTCTTAACCCTTTTTTCTTCTTTCTTTCTTCTGACCACTCCCCTTCACTATGATCACATATTACTTTACTCTCTTTACTTTCCTTTTCTTCTTTTTTCTTTATCTTTCCCCCATCACACTTCTATCCTTTCCACCTTTCTTCTTAACGCATCTTCTCACCTTTCTTTTTTTCCACTTTCTTCCTCTCCTTTCTTCATACCACAACTCTCCACCTCGCCCACTAGTCTCTTCACCATAAAACTGAGTTCTCTCCACTCTTTCTTACATATATAATTTATGACTTTTATTTTTTCTCTTTAACACCTATCTCCTCTCGCATCATCATCTGACAACTGCCAAACTGCGTATCCTGCACTATATATATTATATATGTAATATTATATTTAAGATATACTTAGACATTTTCCAAATAATATCATTCAATATTAATGGAATATTGATGGTTTGGTTCAATATTAATGGATTGGTTAAGGTTAGTTTTTGAAGAGGGTGGGGGTGCAAGGAGAGGACCGAAGCCCGGCGAAGCCTCTGCTTCTTCTTGACTCACGCGTTTACTTTATTACACGTCCAAATATATAATACATTTAAATATGTATATGCATTATATGCTTGGACGCGTAATACAGTAAACGCGTTGATCAAGAAGGAATCAGGGACTCCGCCCCTCCTCCTGTACCTCCTCACTCTCAAAAACTAACCCTAATTAAATTATGTTTAAAATTCGTTCTTTGAACATAGGTTGGTTAGTTTATGGAAAAGGGGTGGGTGCAAGGAAAGGGGCGGAGCCCCTGGCTCCGTCTTGACCCACGCGTTTACTATATTACGCTTCCAAACATATAATACATTTAAATGTATGTGTCACAAATATTAGATATTGTAGTAAGTATTTATCTTATTTATTCAAGGCTTTAACAAACAGAAAATCTGGTACAAATTCTTATTCTAATATTTGCACATAACCATGTAGTTGTGTCAAAGAAGCGTGCGTTTTTCCTTTTGTCAGTATAGCCAATCATAAAACATAAAATAAACTAGTTACTCAATTTGACCAACCGAAACATACTTAAATAGTATCACATTCATCCTCCCCTTTAGTCTATTACATAATCTGATAAATAATCAGAAGGATGTTTTAAGCGTACATGCGTCGTATTTCATCTGAACTCTCAGTCGATCGCGGATCCTTCATTTTCCTTGTTTTTTTTGTCTTCTACTTTTGTTGATTTATTGTTTGATGTTTGGGCAGTTTAATTTCATCTCCTCCTCTATTTCATTTGATTTTTCTCCTTGAGGAGCAAGATGTCTAGTTGATATCGTTGTTTCTCGTTCATCCGAAAGTCTAACGTATGCATATTCTGAGTTTGCTTTTATTAATTCTACTTCTTCTACTAATGGATCATGTTTACTAGTGCGGACGTATTTCTTCATTAAGACTGGTCCAGGTTTAGTCAACCACGTTGGTGATGAACTCCCATTAAATGATCGTCTGGGATGATTAAACATTCGTTTATGTGGAGTAACGTTTGTCGCAGTACAGAGAAGGAAGCGGATAGAATGTAATGCAGAGTCTATTACTTTCTCCCACCGCTCAGTTTTCATATTGTTTGACTTTAGAGCCAGCGTGATAGTTTTCCATATTATTCTATTGTATCTTTCAACCGTCTCCTCTTGGGTTATAGAGAGTTGTTTGGCTGGTTGCGACATCCTGGGAAGTTAAAAATGTTTTAACTCGTGTGATATAAATAATGTTTTTCTATCTGAGTGTATGTATGCCGGTGTCCCAAAAATGGAAAAAAGATGCTTTAGGTGTTTTATTATTGTAGTTGTTAAGACGTCAGTACACGGTACAGCAAAAGGAAATCTTGAAAATTTATCAACAACTGTTAAAATATACTGGTTTCTTGTCTTAGTAGGTAAGGGGCCTTTGAAATCCAGATTTAATCTTTCAAACGGTTAAGTGGCTTTTATTAATTTACCTTCAAACTTGTGAAAACACGGTTTTAATTCAGCACAAATTCGGCATGCGTTAGTCCTGTGCACAAGACACTAAATTTTACTTGGTCACGGCTAAGATTTAAAATTGGAATAATCTCTACAAGAGATTTTGTGTGCACAGGTTTTTAATTCCAACGAAAAAATTTAGTTTCGTTGGGATAACGCACTGTCATCTGCGATTTGGCTCTTATTGCCTGTTTGACACTCTCAATTTATATTTATATTTATATTACAGAGCCTTGTTAAATTCTTAATTAATAAAATTATTAAATTTTATTAAAATTATATTATATTTTTTTTTATTATAATATAAATATAAGATATATAAATATATAAATAGTGCAATTTATATTTTACTTTTTAGTATTTATTAAAATTTTTTATAATATTAACGTTATACAGATAATTTTAACATATTTGTAATTTTTTATATATTTTATATATTGTGTGAATTTAGCCAATTATATAGTCAAGGTATTGTGAAATTTTGGAAAGAAATTGTGGCTGCTCATCATCCACCCTTTTTCAAAATTTCTTATTATCCACCACTTTCTACATCTCTACAATAAATACTTCTCCCCCCCCCCCTCCTCATCTTTTCATCTTTCTCTTCTCTTTTTTTTCCCAACTCATTCTTCCTCGATCTTCTTTTCCTCCTTCTTTTCCTCTGCTTTCTTTCTCCTGTTTCTCTCTCCTTTCTTTTTCACCGCTGTCTTCTCCACCATCCTCATCTTCTGCCATTACCTTCTCTTTCGTTTCCATCCTAGCTCTCTTTCCTTTTACTCACTTTTCCACGAACCGTATTTCTCCTCTCGCCACTACAGTTTTTCTCGTTTCTCTCGTAACACTTATTTCTCCTCCCGTCAAATCACCTTTATTCTTCTTTCTCCACCATCCCGACCATCAACTCTATACTCCTCCTTAAGCACCTATCCTTTCCTCATTTCCATTCTTACATCCACACTTCTCATCATATTCTGTACCATCTCGTAATACGTCCATCTTCTTTTACCATCTCATAACACATTTTCCTTCCTCTCTTCTCTCTTCTTTCTCTGCACTACTTCTTTCTTTCTCTCTCTCCTTCCGTTCTCACCTCCTCCTAACTCCTCTTCCCTCTCTCCATTACCGTCTTCATACACCGTTCTCGCCTTCTTTGCACCTCTTAACCTTTTATCTTCTCTTCTCCTTCTGACCACTTCTCTTCACTATCACCACATATTACTTTACTCTCTTCACCTTCCTTTTCTTCGTTCTCTTCTTTGTTCTTTATCTTTTCTTCAATCATACTTTCCTCCTTTCCATTTTCCTTTCTTCCTAAGGCACCTCCTCACCTTTCTTCCTTTCCCTCCGCTTTATTCCTCTCCCACCTCCATACCACAACTCTCCACCACACCACCAGTCTCTTCTCACCATAAAGTTTAGTTCTTTCAGCTACTACTTATATACGTCATTTATGACTTTTTTCTTTCTCTCTACCATCTCAATCTCATCTTTCATCACCTCCTCACAACTGCCCAGATAGTCACAGTAATTATTACGACATTATTTTGACATCAAAATGCATCATTTTGATGGCAAATGATGCATTTTGACATTAAAATAATGTCATAATAATTACTGTGGCTATCTGGGTGTCAAACTACGTCACCTGCATTATATATATTATTAATATTATATTTCTATCAAATAATATCATTATATATATCATATTATTATATATAATATTTCTAAGATATACATAGTTTATACGTGTAATATATACACGTTTTTTAAATAACATCATCAATATTAATAAAATATTTATTCTACTAATAGTAAAAATTATTAAAAAAGATAATTATATTTTTAAAATTAATAATAATAAGTGCAGGTAATACAATTTTTGTAATATGTTACCGAACTAACGTTACATGTTACCGAAATTATATATTGGTTAGCATTAAATATTTGTTATTTATGCACAACTAGAATCAATTTTATTTTATGATATATGATGTACAACAATATCTTGCACAGTTTAATTTTTGCTGCAATTTCAAGTATTAGGATGACATTTTTATAATTAATTTTCTATTTGTATTTCATTTTATTTACATGTATCAATTTTTCATACGTTTTTAATTTATAATTTATATTAAGAAAGTATGAAACAAAAATTGAAATAAGTTTAAAAATAAGTATATTAATAATAAAATTATTCAGAACAATAAGAATTGATAAAATTTATTTACTATTCGACAGGATATTATCGCGTTAACTATGATGAAGAGAATTGGCAAAGAATTACAAATTATCTACACTCCCATAATTACAAGAAAATTCATGTTCTTAATCGTGCCCAAATTATCGATGATGCATTTAATTTAATGATAGCAGGCCATCTCCGTTCCTATATATTTTGGAACATTACATCGTATTTGCATCAAGAAGAAGATTATATAGCATGGTATCCTATGTTTAAAGCTCTGGAATATATATGTAGTTCTTTTCCAGTGTTGAAGAAGAAACTAGATATTATACGGTAGATATTAATCAATTTTGATGAAAATATTACAATTTAAATATTTACATATACACCCATTGATCACAAATGATTTAAATACTTAGAAAAATATATCCAGCAGCGATAAAATTTTACATACTATTACGTCGCAAACGAATGTGCAAACAAATTCAGTTTGAATAATTACTCACCTGAAGAACTATCATTACTGAATATTAGTCTATTGAATTTTCTAGATTACTTTGCCTTTAATATTTTAGTATATAAACATTTGTTTTGAATATATGTATAGCTAGATGCTTATAATATCATTTGTCAATAAATGCAATATATATTTGTATGCATTATTATTTAAATATAACATGATTTGATAACTATTATCATATAAAAAAATAGATAGACATATTAGTCAAATATAAAAAAAAATAAACAAATATACAAAAAATTGAAATAATATTTAAAAATATATATATATATCTCACAAAAAGATATATTTTATATCTTATTTATGAATATAATAAATAATATTTTAATGATGGTATAAATATGTAGCTATAAAACTTTAATATCTATTAAATATTATAAACATTTCGCACAAATTAAACCTTATTTTTACGTACATGTATATTATAAATGTATATTTGCACGTATACATATGTACGTGAATAGATAAACGTTAGCGTCTACCATATAAGTGAATTTGTATGTATGTTTGTTTCATTGAAAGAGAAAATTTTAAGAATTTAATTTCTAACTAAGGTAAAAATTTTACATGTTTATATATTATACAAAATTTAATAATAATGCAATGTTAATAATTATTATTTAATGTTTAAATAATTTTGATAATGTTATATTAATGTTAAAAAATAATCCATTTTAGGAAATAAACACACACGTTAAATGGTTGAAG